TTTTTTTTTTTTTTTTTTGGTAAAAATGACGCTCTATACTCTCCTGTGGTTAAGAGCTCGACTGCTAACCAAAGGTTCGGCAGGTCGAATCCACCAGCCACTCCTTGGAAGCCCTATGGGGCAGTTCCATTCTGTCCGTCAGGAGGGTCGATATGAGTCAGAATTGATGGCAATGGGTTTGGAGTTTTTTTGTGTGTGTGTGGTTTTTGTGTTTTTTTTTTTTTTTTTTTTTTTGGTCTATTCTCCTGTAATCAGTCCTAGATCTGTAAAAAGCATCCCATAATTCTTGAATATTTTAGCATTTCCTTCCTATCCTGGCAGCTGCTACTTGTAGGGAATGAGGCATTCATCTTCAAGAGTTCAATCTCCTTTAACCCTGGAACACTGTAAAATGTTTTAGAGAGTGAAGGTTCAAGTTTAAAATATCTAATATACCTTTTCACTTAAAAATTTAAGAATCTCATCCTGACGGGATTAATTTAGCCTTTCATTCTTTTGTAGTAATCACATTAACCAGGGAGGAAGATTTTTCATCCCCAAATGGATGATCTCAGCGTCCCAGCATCAGTTGATCAGAATATATTCTCCAACTCTTCCACCAGGTTGTTGCAAGTTTTGGGATGTACCTGCTTTGAGGCAGAGACACCTCATTTTAGACCAGCAAAGCCTTACCACCATGATGCTATGTAAAGTCATAGAATTATATAAAATTAAGAGTTTGAAGGGTCCATAAAAATAATAAACACCAACACTCAATTTACAGGTAAAAACTGGGACTGTGACTTAGGACAATCACACAGCTAGTGGCAGGGTCAGACCAGAACCCAGATTTTCTACTTTCAGCACTCTTGTCTCCTGTATCATGGCATTCTTAGTGCATCAGAATCACTTGGGGGGCTTATTAAAAATCGATTGCTGGGCCCCACCCCAAGAGTTTCTGATTCGGTGCATCTGGGGTGAAGCCTGCCAATTTGTGTTTCTAACAAGTTCCCAGGTGATGCTGATGCTGCTGGTCAGGGACCACTCCTTGAGGACCACTGGACTATAGTGTACTTCTTGAGCGTTTGGGTAAACAGTAATTGATTTACAAGGGTTCTTACACCATTTAGAATTAGGACAGCAGACACTGTCATAAATAAGGCAAATAAAGGTCAGAGAGGTTAAATGACTTGCTAGTAGTCACACATGTAGCAAGCAATCACAACCTAGTGCTGTTTTGCTCCAAGTGAAAGCTCTTTCTATCCCACCTTAGTAAACACGTATCCCCAGTTTAGCTCAACTGAAAGCATTGATTTTTAACAAGGATAAATTCTTTAGGAGAGTATTATTACTCTATTCATACAAATCCCCAAGTAAGTCAGATCTCGTCATGCTTAACTTCTGATATTTTAGTAGACGTCATTAAATAATAGGAACATCATTACTTTATAGAGGCTCTAGTTTTGAACAACTGTTGTGCCCTCTCTCGTGGAATTGTCTTATTATTCTATCATTAGTCCATTTTTAGACCTGTGATTTGGAGATTGGATTTTAATAAACTCTAAGGAGAGACTCCTTAAAGGGTTTAAAAATGTTTCATATGCTTCCATGTACCTTAAGTTGTTCTTCTATGTAAAAACTATTTGTCCTGTAATAGCCCCATTTATTAAAGTTCTTAATACCAAAACACATGTCATATGGGAATGAAACACAGTGATATCCTGATGAAGATCCCCCAAGGTAATTCCCAGTGATAGTATAGGTGCAGTAGCAACACAGATTCAGCCCATTTACTTCCAAGTGTGACATAAAATTTATTTTTATGCTTCGAATTTTCCCACGGAGGACTAATGATAAAAATAGTTACTGAGTTAAAGGTTATAGAAAATTGTAGTACTAATAGGGTCGCTGTGCATCAGAATCGACTCGATGGCAACGGGTTTGGTTTGGTTTGATTTAATATTGTTTCACAAAAGTGCCCTGTTTTTATATTACAGACCCGACAGAGTTCTGCAAGAAGTAGTGTATCCCAGTATAACAGGCTGGATCAGTATGAAATCAGAAGCCTCCTGATGTGCTACCTGTATATTATAAAAATGATTTCTGAAGGTTAGTTATCAAGCATATTAAACACAGACTCTATTAGATGTACAGCTTCCTAGATTCACAGGTTCTTAAAACAAATATTTCACCATCATTGTATGTAGAGCAAGGAGCCTTGGTGGCCCAGTGGTTAAGCACTCCACTGCTAACAGAAAAATCGGTGTTTTGAACCCACCAGCTGCCCCACGGGAGAAAGATGTGGCAATCTGCTTCCATAAAGATTACAGCCTTGGAAACCCTATGGGGCAGTTCTACTCTGTTCTATAGGGTTGCTATGAGTTGGAATCAACTTGCTGGCAGCGAGTTTGGGGTTTTGGTATATAGAGCAAATGTGCATTAGAAACAGATCTTTGAAGACTCTGACTTTAAAATGTTCCCGTATTGTAACTTAAAATATGTTCATTTCAATCTGAATCAGGTTTGATTCTTTGAAATCACTTAAAAACAATTTTACAAATTAATTTTTAAAGGTAGGCAGTCATTTACAAATACTAAACACTTTTTCAATGCAGAGCACATAATGTATTAAATGACCATGTAAACAGAAGGAAGCCACAATAAGCAGAATTTGTATTTAATACTTTAACTTTTATTTGACCCAGGATTTGGAAAATCAGAAATAAACAAAAAATCAGGAAGGGTGCTGTAAGGGTGAGGAATGCCAATATTCTTTTTACATTACCACTGTGGTATTGTATGCTAACCAGGATCTGGTGAGGTCTGGTTCCTTGTCAGGCTGTTTGTCTCTTTGGTGTATTCTGTGAAGACACTATATCATTTATGGGTGTTAACAGTTTCCATTTACATTATGATGGAATATAACCAAAGGACTTTCGTAACTGCTCATCTTCTGGAAGTAAAATCAAAGAGTTATCATCTTATCCCAAATACCACATTTAGTTACAAAATTCCCCTGTGCTCTTCCTTTTCTTCCTATTTTTGCTCAGAAAATGTATCAAGGAATGAAGAACATAAAAAATTACCTGGAATGAGAAACTACTTGTTCTGTAAACCTTCATCTAAAGTACAATAAAAAAAATTACCTAAGTTCTTATTCATCGTATCATTTTTTATTTATTTTCTATTTTTAATTTTTTTTTTTAGTAAACATTGCCTGCTTTAAATCCTGTTTGTAATAATACAAAATATAAAAACATTAAGTTGATAGCTAACTAGCTAGCTAAACATTAAAATAGCTAGCTAGATATGAGCAATAAATTCTGAAATGCATTCATAGAATAAAACAGTAGAAGAAATAACTGGAATCTTAAGTTTTTGGAAAGTGTAATTTTAGAGTAAAAGTCAAAGATTACACTGAGGCTGTGTGAGGGACCTCTGTGTTTTGAGAAAGAAATAAAGGGACATAATTTTCAACCCTGGTGGTGGTTCATTCCAGGAGGTAATCGATCAGATAACAACTACAGACACAACTCACTGTTTTTATCTTTCCACAAGGTAAAAAGTGGGGGAACATGGAGAGTGACTGCTAGTGTGTATGGGGCTTCTTTTTAAGGTTATGAGAATATTCTAAAATTAAATTGTGGTGATGGTTTCACAGCTCGGTGAATAAACTATTGAATTGTGTACCATTTAAATGAATTCAAGTTTGTGGATTATCTCAGTAAATTTGTTTTAAAAAAGAAGAGACCAGAGAGACACATCAAAAAAATAAAAATAGAATGGTCCAGGGAAAGTGGGATGGGGGAGAGAGAGAAGAAAGTGGGGGGGGGGAGCGTCATTGCTGACAAGTTCTCCCCTCCTCCACTCCTGTGTGCAAGCGCACACACTTGCATGCGCACACATACACACACAAGCATACATACCATGCAAACCAGTGACAAGTCATTGGCTGCTGTTTTTTTTTTTAAGATGCATAAAACGACTGTTTTGTTTCTTGAGAACTTGAGATAGTTCCTCGTCTTCCTGTAAATGTTGACCTTGCTTCCTCAGTGATGGTACTCTCTGCCAAATATTTGGGTTTTCTTTCTTCTGCTCTTCATTTTTAAAAGCACATTTTCAATAACCAGTATAGTCTGTCACATCTCCTTTTTAACCTTTGTAAGTATAAAGTCATGCAATATGATATCTGTAAAGCATTTTATTCTGAAAAATGTCTCTGGATCTATGCTCAATAGATGTATTTTAGTTGTTTTGTCTTGTCCAGTAAATATTTTAAGTCATATAGATATGGGTTTAAATATTGAACTCGTACAAGTCCATACCCTTCAGGTCTTCTATTGCCTTTGTTTTTTATTGGCTCATAAACAGTAGCAACATGAATGTCAACAAAAAGATGGTCCACCTCTATACTTTTTATATACAAGTAGGATTCTGAAAGCTGAATTTTCTTCTCTATAGCTGTATTTTTTAAACTGGCAGTAATTCACTGTTTCTTAGAGTCATTTGCCTAACTTTTAAAAGGCTTTAGTACCTTGTTTTATTGTATCTTGAAAAAAGCAATCAGTTAAGAGTCAGGGATTATTGGTTACACAGTCTGAATTGACAGGAAGACTGTCCTCTTGAAAAAGAAAAGCATTCTTCTTCTCAATAGCAATGATGATGGAAAGCTACATCCTCTTTTTTTCTGACTGGGTTCTGGCTTTTCTCTTCAGTGTAGACTCCAATAAAGAACTCTCAGTGTCATCTTGAAGTTTATCGGCAGCATACTCTGTGCCTGTAGATTCATAAGTATTCGTCTTCAAAGTAGATTGCTCAGTAGGTTTCTGGAAACTGACATCTCTCACTCCAAATCCAATGTTGTAATGAGCAATCCCAAGCATTGATCTTTTCCCACCACATCTTAAAGTATAGTCAAAAGGAAATACATTCAAAGGGAGTTTTTCCTTTTTCTGTGTTAATATGGCTCTATTATAACCAGCCATATGTTCCTCTGAAGTTTCAGATACTAGATGACTGTTGTTGTCTTCTTCTGAAGAAATACTGGAAAGGCTCCAAGAGAGGTCAACCTGAGTTTCACACTTTTGTGTGGTCTTCTGTGAAGAGGTCTTTATTTTACGTTTTCTTTTTGTCTTGCTGCACTCGTCTTTAGGAGGGTCTGAGGCATCTTCAAATCCAAACCACTTGTAAGGATTAAATGGAGATTTTAAAGAAAAACCTACAGGTGATTTCTGGTCGGCTTTGTCTCCGGTGATATGCCTACTGCCGTTAGAAGGAATTTTCTCAAAGGAAGTCTCTGGCACCTCGGAGATATCCTGACCATAAAATGGAGCTGAAAGCTTTGAACTTTGTTGCAGTTCCTTTATTCCTGCCGGATTCATCAATTCAGTATGCGACTGCTTCATCACTCTGATAGGCAAATTCACTTGCGCTCCTGGTGGAGGGTCCCTGACAGAAAAAACTTGCAAGGTCCTTTGCGTAGAAGGAATGATGTCATCGTCACTATCAGAAAAAGAAACGTGAAATAGTTCTGTATTTGGTTTTAGTCTTGCAGAAAGCTTTTTATTTTCTTCTCTTAATTTATTCCTTTCTTTAGTGAGTTCACTAATAAACTTACGATTTTGTTGTTGCATATTATAAAATTCTTGCTGTAGCGACCTCCTGTATGCTTCATTAACTGAACAGCGATTACAAATTTTTGAGCTTAACTGATCTCTCAAGTTCTTAATGGTGTGAATGAGGACTTTCTGTTGTTCAGTCAACTCTTTAATTTTGGCTATTGAGCCGGTTCGTCTTCCGTCTGCCAATCGCTCTTTCCTCATATTAGTTAACTTCACCTGTAAACGGCGTAGCTCTTTATCATGGAGCTCTTTCAGTGTCAGCCAGGTTTTTTTAAAATCATCAGATGACAAATCACATACACTAAACTGCAATTGATCTCTTAATGAAGGTTTCTTACCACCTTCCTTGTCTCCCCCACCCATATTCCCGGCGTGCATCATGTTTCACCAAGGTTGAGACAGCTCACTGGCTCGACAGCGCCACCAAGAAAATGGCGGAGTTGAGTCTGACTAGAGCAAGGCCGTGGCAGGGATGAGCTCTTACACCCTTTTTACAGACCTTTTGCAAAACTGCTGGGTGGGAAGTTAAGAAATAGAAAGGCTTAACTTTTCAGTTGGAAGGATGCTCTGGTTTCTTGGTGGGAACAACCGGTGCAATCGGGCAGGGACTGAGAACCGCGCCCTCAGGCGTCGGCGCGGCAAACTGCCCTCCGAGGAGAGGCCGGAAACCCAATGCCTTCTGGGAGAGCTTTCTGGTCTTGGAGGAGAAAGGAATCTGAAGGCAGAGGGGGAGACAAGAAGTCACCTCCAGCTTAATTTTTTTTTAATCTAACTATGTGACTTTGTTTTAACATTTTTATTCTTGATTACTATTTTATAATCATCAAGCTCTGTCAATATTCATCGTCCTTTAAAACAATTGAAAGTAGCTAAGTAAAAGCTCCGCCCCCATCCCTATATAGCCAACATGGTCTAGTCGTCCATCCGTATCTTCCGGAACGTCTACCCAGTTTGAGATTGAGTCGTTTGCCTGCATTTGTGATACTCACAAGTCTTTTATTTTGCAGCAGGGTCTGCTGGCACCAGTAGCTATATCAAAGTAGGGTTTAAAAAAATGAAATGGAAAGTTAAGTGGCAGTAATATTTTTCTTTTTCTTCTTTTAAATCTCATTAAGTGAATGTGTTGAGAAAGAACGGAAAAAAGTAAAAAGTATATGCAATACACTTAACAGAGTTTTATATCAGAAATAGTTCCTATTATATTACAACTTGTTTTATTCAGTGTTTATTTTGCCATCTTATATTATCTGACACAGCTGGGTTATTTTAACACTTTCATTAACAAAGGCTTGCCTGATTTATCCCAATCGCAAAAAATAATAAAAACGAAATAAATTGAAGCAGGCAAGCACATCCCAGACCAGACATAAGAAATCCTTTGAAAACATGTATTTATTATATATATTATATATAGTAATACTTGGCTTTGTCAACAGTTTTATAGAAGTTAAATAGGAAAATATGAATAGGAAAGCTTAAAATTCACTAAGCTATAGAAGGCAGAATTATAGATACATTATTGATCTTGAGGTAGATTTTTTAAAGCCTTAGATTATCAAGTCTGAATTTTTTTTTCATAGGCCACTGGAGTAACTGTGTGGTCCCATTTTTAATATGTTGTTCAGCCACAAGTTTATTATACAGCTGATAAATACATATAATACCTCAAATATAGGGATATTCATTGTGTATAGTACACTGTTCCAGGCCTTCATAATTTATAATCCAAAGGCAAAGAGGAAGGAAAATTATATGTCTCTTCTTCTAAAACAGAAGCTCTTAAACTTTTTGGTTCACAAAGCCCTTTGAGTAGCAGGCAAAGGCACTTAACCCCCGCCTCAGAATAATGCACATAAAGACACTGTCTTGCATAAAATTTCAGGGAGTTCATTCAAAACCCCAGATCTAAAATAAAAATGCGACAACCTCCCTTCCTTTATCTTCAGGGATGATATGCAGATCGAGATAAGCCATCCAAGAGAACATTTACAAAGTAAATGAAAAGAATTGTTGGAGCTAAAAGAATTATAGATTAAAAAATATATTTGGCATTAATTTAAAAAATACAGCATATGTATTAGGCAGTGGAAGGGGAGAGGGGAGGGTATAGATGAAACAAGATGGATCATGAGTTGATGGTTGTTAAAGCTGTGTTATGGTACTTGGGAGTACACTATGCAGTTTACTTTGATTATTTCAAGATCTAACACTTTATTTCATTTTCAGATACTCTCTTAACTTACTGGAATAAAGTATCTCCTCAGGAGCTCCTAAACATTCTCATACTTCTAGAGTAAGTTATATTATCTTATTTTCATAAACTTCCCCTTATTTGGGGAAAGCTTAATTTCCAAATATAATAGATATTATCCTTATTCTTTTTTTCTACAGCTTATTTGCTAAGAATTTAGGGAATTGTTAATTATTAAATAATTTGATAATATAGTTAATATAGAGGCTGGCATAGTTGCTCTTCACATGTAGATATAAGAAAAACATGCGGCTGAAATATTTGTGATATTACAGAAAACTAGCTAATAATACACCATAGTTACAGCCGAGCAGGAGTCTTTCTGTGATCTGGAAGACTAGAAGTGGCATCAGCTGTTCCAAATCATTCATTTGGAGCAGATGTTGGATTAATGAGCAGCTTAAATGATTGGGATTTAGAATTTGAACTTTTATGTAGAGCTGAGTAATTCTACCCACTTTAGAAATGAATATCCATCCATCCATACATCTATATATATACATACATGTAAGTATATATACACATATCTCCATTCCAAAGCACTTGGGGAAAAAAACCTAGCCTGGAGGTGGGAAATTGTCACATACTGTATGCTGAGCTATTTTTACACCATTATTCAAAGCTTAAAGAAAAATTAAAATGAAATGTAAGAAATTTTTCATAAAAACTACACATGTAGATATTGTATGTGCATATCTGCCAGAAGAGAAAGGATAATCAGTGCATAAATATTTGATTCAAGTCTTTCACAATTTTGCAGAAAATATCAGCTGACTAAATAGCTGTTTTTGAGATTTAAAAAACTATTGTAATTATACTGAAATATTTACTGATGAAAATATATGATGTTGGGGATTTGCTTCAAAAAATACAGGAAATGGGGAGGAGGAGGTGAGGAGACCAGGAGACCTGTTGCAGGTAAAGGTTAAACAAGAATGGTTATGAGCTGATAATTGCTGAATCTGGTGGGTGATGGGTACATGGGGATTTATTACACTGTCCTTCCTACTTTTGTATATGTTTGAGATTTTCGATAATATAAAGTGCTTTAATACTATTAGAAAAAATATTGCAATTGCTCCAATTTTTAAGGCTTAAGAACCTTTTTTGACAATGCTAGAGACCTGTGCATATATGTTACAGAGCACAAAGGATGCTTTGCACTGGCAGTTGTTTTTTAAAAATCGGACGTTAGAATGGTATATGAAGAAGTGTACTTTTCTGGTGCTGATGTAATTGTAGCTAATCAATGTAGAAAGATGTAATATGGCAAGCTTGCAAGAAGTTATGTGTATATTTATTTATGTATACCAAAGTATGTTATTGTAATATGACTTGAATAAGTCACTCTTTGTGATTCATGACTTATCAAATATTACTTGTTGAATTGTAGCATATGGTAATATATTACTAACATCCTATTGTTTTTCTTTCTAGAGTATGTTTGTTTCACTTTAGATATACGGGGAAAAGAAACATAGCAAGGTAATTTCCATCGTACTACAATTTCTCTTTTTTCCTTCTCTTCCAACAGAGGACAATCTTAGCCATGCCATGTAAAACCCAGGATAATCAATGCATAAACATTTGATTAAAGTCTTTAAAAATTTTGCAGAAAATGTCAGCTGACTAAACATTAAGACTTTCATGATTTATCTAACGTGTCCCAGCATAATAAAGTTTAAATTAAACCAGTGCGAACTTAAATATTTTTAAGTTTTCAAGAAATAATGGTTAGACTGATAATGCAGGATTTCTGTCTTGTGAGATCTCACAAATCCTAGAACAGATCCTTGTCTTTCCTGAAGGATGTGAGTAAGGGCAACATCCAGGGGAAGGCAGGAATTTATAAAATGAGGATGACTGTGAGGTCTGTACCTTTGTCTACAGTCTAGCTATACTCATCTCAGTTACTTAGGTAAATAGAAATCCCAAACAGTGATTGGGAGATACATTATCCTTATCTATTTCTTCTTTTTGCCATTTAAGCCCTAGTGAAGTAAATATCTAAAGAAGTGTTTGATGGATCCTAAGGCAAAGGTTACTCACTTGTTTCAATAGGATTTATTTTAAGGGTAGAGTTAGTCAGTTAAGTAACTCAAATACAGTTGTTGTTGTTGTTTTTTAATGTTAAATTCCATGGCACTTCAAAAAATTGAAGAGGCTCTTTGGAAAGGATTTCTTGCTTTGTCTGTGGAACATCTCATAATAGGTGGTTGAGATGAAGAGTATTCCAAATTCCACTGTTTTCCCCCATGTCTTGGAGCCAGTATGGGCGCTGCCACCATGAGCTTTAGCTGCTAGGATTCTGCTGACCATCTCACTGTGTTTACTGGAGGATAGACAAACGCTTTTTCTTCCTTAGTCCACGTAAGACCCGGTTTTGATTTTTTAAAATGTAATCTTAACATTAAAGGAAAACAAAGAAAAGTTCATAAATCTTAAAAATAGACATGTTTACAGAGTAAAAATTTCTGATCCAAAATTAACTCAAGCCCAGAAATAGATTAGATTGGCACCTATTCTTGAACATCTAGCTCCAGGGGATTTTTTCCCCCTCATTTCAGCACTGAGTATTCCTCTCGCTGTCTCCTTAGACTCTTGCCCTCCTGCGAAAAGGCTGAATCTTATTGGAGTATTGGCCACCTAACTCGGATGTTTTTGGGAACGAGGGACATGGGAAGTCTTTCTGAGTTCCTTAATTGCATTCTTATAGTATAAGCTATTTTAAAGATATAGTAAAACTATGTGATTTCCAGCAATGCCTCATTTAATCCAAGTAATAGTTGGTAGAATGTTGAGCATAGCATCATGTTTTTATGGAAACCTATTTTTTACTTAAAAAGGATCTAACATTGAGATACGTTATTAGAGCACTGCATTTTCTAACTGTAGTGTTTATTTTAGGGTGCATGATGCCTGGCTGTCTAAACACTTTGGAATAGACCGAAAATCGCAAACCATGCCAGCTCTTCGAAACAGATCAGGAGTAATGCAAGCCCGGCTTCAGCATCTCAGTAGCCTGGAAAGTTCATTTACGCTGAATCACAGTAAGTGAAAATGTGCGTAGGGTACCCGTTTGAAGCAACCATATGCATGCTATTTAACCTTAAAGAAGGCCTGGTTTGAATCACCAGGATGATTGGAAATGATTTCACATATGTAACTATATGTTTATATCTCTGCTGTGTTTTTATATAAAATCATTTTATGTATGAATACATCATAATAAAATATACATGGGTTTTTTCAACAATTTTAAGTAATGGTGATTTTTTTCTTACCTCAATATTTAAAAATTTTTTCAGTGAATTGCTGTTTTCATCATATCATTTAATATTGGAAATCCTTCATTATTATTGTTAAACTTTAATAATGCAAATAATGGCATGCTTAATGTAATAGTATTTATAATATTTGTTTAGAGTTAACTGTTCATTGAATGAACATGCTGAGCTGAGTGCAGAAATTAATGAATTGTAAATGCTATTTTGGCAAAGGTGTATTTCAGACAGGTTGCAGTCTTGTAAAGGCGAATAGGACCAGGAGAGAAACCTTGCCTGGCTGGAGAAGCTAGAGGGTTATATAAATGGAAGCTATCCTCTGAGATGCAAATATTAATAAGAACTGGAAGAGTAGGAAAACATTAATTTCCATAGAGTCCTCTGGAGGTAGCAGACAGGGAAGCCAGCAAAACTGGCTTTGTAGTAGAGAGTAATAATACTAAAAACAAACATCTTGAGCAAATCAACTCTGAGGTAATAGATTCAGGATCTTAAAAAAAAAAAAAGCAAATTTTACAGCCTTCATCTTTGCCCCGTCAGCTGTAAAAATGTAATGCATCTACTTCCTTCAATGGGCCCCAGATACCTTGTTTTCTTTCTAATGTAGAAACAATCCTTATACGTCATTGGCATAATAGAAAACATCTGACCATCATAGGGTACTACTGTATGTGCTGTCAGCTGCTGTCATGTTGACCCTCTACTCATGGTGACTCCATGCACAACGAGATTGGACCAATGTGATCCATACGGTTTTCATTGGCCGATTTTTCAGCAGTTGATCGGCAGGCCTTTCTTCCTTGTCTGTCTTAGTCTGGAAGCTCTACTGAAACCTGTTCAAGTATCATAGCAACACTCAGGCCCCCACTGACAGGTGCATTGGCTGGGAATCTAACCTGGGTCTCTGCGTGGAAGGCGAGAATTCTACCACTGAACCACCACTGCTTTCATACTACTGTATGTAGTATAGCCGAATTTCTATTCTCAGTTTTGTGCACATTATTAGTGGCACAGGCTAAAATGCTTCACCGTTATTTCCTAGTTACATCACTGTAGTTTATCACTGAAATCTTGTCTTCAAAAAAGTGGGTACCTAATTACATCCTGTGGAGCTGTCAACACAGAGCTGAAGTGAAAATTAGTAGACTCAATTAACCATCTTTGATTAAGAATTAAGACAGTGAAATTCATTAGGGCTTTAGGAATTGAGAGCCCCCTTTCTTCTTGCTCATCTCTTTCTTGAGTCTTTGGGGGAAAATGTTCAAAACTGTTAACGTGAATCTCTGTTTTGGGCAAAGTTTTAATTTATTTATTTTTGTCCTAGGTTCTACAACAACTGAAGCAGACATTTTCCACCAGGCGCTTCTTGAAGGCAATACTGCTACTGAAGTTTCCCTCACAGTACTAGATACCATATCTTTTTTCACCCAGTGCTTCAAGGTAAAAAATGAAGTTTAGAATTCAAAGGCAGCACAGTTGGGAAACTTGGACGACAGTTTGGCTACTGTGAGACCTTGTAAAGTCACTTGAGACTCACTTGCCCCATCCATGAACTGAGGGGATTGGACTGTTTTGCCCTTAAGCTCCCTTCTACCTCTTAAATTCTGTTGTTTTATTTTCATGTTTAATAACAGTTCTTTCATACTTTTATGAAAATAAGTAAATTTTAGCCTAAAACATGACTGAATCAAATTGCCCAAATACCCATTCTGATGAGGTATCTTATCAGGCTAGATGATGTCCAGGCAGGCTGGTTGATTTCCTAATCAGGCACTTAGTATTTTTTCTAAGATGTTTATATCTCCATGTGAATCATCATTGCCATATGAATGAAAAGAAGGTTAAAAACAGTTATTGTGCAGGGTTTTTGAAGGAGTTAAATAAAATGGTGGATGTGAGAGTGTTTTGAATAGTAAAAACTATGTAACTATAATGTAAGGTAACATTAATGAGAGAACTCAAAGGTGAAAAATCATGCTTGCTTTTCCGAGTTACATAGATAATTTTTCCCGCTTCTGTTAGTAATTCGATTAATTGCCTCAACCTTCCGGATTTACTGTGGGAACCTAGACTGTGTTTTTCAAAGATGCTTATAAGAGAAAATCAAATTAGTTACTAATAAGAAAATAGGCTACAGAATCTCTTTATGAAATTTGTTCTGATTAAAATGCAACATGTGTTCCTTTTTCACAGTGCCAATAAATAAGAAGGGCACTTGGTCTTGTGGGTTGCATTGTACTCCTATTCTGATACGAATTATTTAGCAAACATTTATATATCTTTTAGTATATGTCAGACACTATCCTAATGTCAGGGTCCTTGGGTGACACAGACAGTTAAGTGCTCAACTACTAGCTGAAAGGTTGGCAGTTCGAACCCACCCAAGAGGCGCCTTGCACGACTGGCCTGGCGACCTGCTCCCAAAAGGTCACAGCCTTGAAAACCCTATGGAGCAGTTCTCCTCTGCACACATGGGGTCGCCTTGAGTCAGAACCAACTCGATGGCAACTAACAACAGCAACAACATCCTAAGTGCTTTATAAATATTAACTGACTTTTTCTGATTGCCTGGGACTGAGGAGTGACTGCAGATGGGCACAAGGGATGCTTTTGAGGTGATGGAAGTGTTCTAAAATTAGATTGTGATGGTTGTATAACTCTACAGAAATTTACTAAAAATAATTGAATTGCACATTTTAAACAGGTGAATTTTGTTATGTAGACTATACCTCAATAAAGCTGATAAAAATACATATATAAACTTATCCTTAATCCTTATAATAGCCCTATGTGGTAGATACTGTTATCGTTCCCATTTAGAATGAGAAAACAGACTTACAGGGAGGTTAATAATACGTAGCTGATCGGTGGAAGAATCCAAATTCAAACTTAGGCCACTTATCAGAAGAATCCTTGCTTCTAACCACTATACTATCCTTGTAAGTATAGTAAGGAAAGAGCCAGAAAAATTTAACATCATTCAGGGAATACTGCTTTTGCTGTCATGTACCATTAGATCTGTCACACTTTGCATATTGTTTTGGTCATTTGTAGTTTTGAGGTTTTTTGTTTGTTTTTGCCACATTATAACCCGTTGATTAGTTCTTGAGGGGTAGGAGGGTAGGGGTGGAAGGTAGGATTGAAACAAATTTACAATGTAATGAAGTTAACCAATCCTTTTTATTATTTAAAGGTTCACAAACCAATAGATATTTTTGTACATCCTTTTGTTTCCTTTATATTTTTGTGAGGGGCATTTAAACAATTTATGTAGTCTGTTGAATTGTCATGCCTCCTATTATCTCTACTCATAGAGGGTTTAATTTATCACCAGTGGCTAAACATGTCTTATTTTAATATTTTTAAACAAATTAGATAATAGATTTTTATAATAAAATTGATATTTTCTTAAACTCTTCCTCAGAGAAATACAAGTCTGGTTGCCTTGTACCCATTTTTAATATACTGATTTCTTAATTGAAAAGCAGTATGGTAGGATTAATAGAAAATATTCTTTCCATACTAGTTCTGTATTTGTTGTGTTGCATTGGAAAACTTATTTTTCCCATCTGTTTAGAATGATGGAATTAAATATTCTAGATACAGTTTAGGAGCCCTGATGGTGTAGTGGTTAAAAGCTTGGCTACTAACCTAAAGGTCGGTAGTTTGAAGCCACCAGCTGCTCCTTGGAAACCCTGTGGGGCAGTTTTACTCTGTCTTACAGGGTCACTGTGAGTCATAATTGACTCGATGGCAACTGGTATTCTGGTTGATATAGTTTATGTAGTATTTTGAGATTTCCAAACTGAAGGATGACAGAAATATTTTAAAATTATATTAAAGCCTTCTTATTTTTTGGAAACTTCCAAACAATCATTTGATAAACAGACATTGATAAAGTCAGTTTTCTCATTATAGTGTACGGGGAGAAGGGAAGAGGGTGTAAGCTGAGTATTTGTGCAAAATGTTTTTTTTCCCTTATGTTTTTTTTGTAGACCCAGCTTTTAAACAATGATGGCCACAACCCATTAATGAAAAAAGTATTTGATATTCATCTTGCTTTTCTTAAAAATGGACAGTCTGAAGTGTCACTGAAACATGTTTTTGCTACACTGAGGGCTTTCATTAGTAAGGTAAGGAAAGAAGCTTTATATCTGCTAGTGGGCTAACTCTAGGGCAAGAAGGAAAGAAAACGGAGGGGAAAGACGATCATTGTGATGTGACATCTGCAAACCTCACATAAGAAAGCCATAAATATTGCCTTTGTAAATATATACGCACAGAACAACAAAATACATGAAAAAGGCCTGACGTGACCAAGAATCTCCCAAAATCAGAACCTGCTCTTTATTTTATCCTGTCATACCTTTCCTTTTTCAGTAGGCTCCTTTGAAGAGTACCATTTTCAACTTACCAACTTTACTAGTTTTTGTTCTGTTTTGATTCTTTTTAAAGTATTATGATGCTGAAGGTATAGAAGCTATTAGTGCACTAACATATAAGCATTTGAAAGCAGGAACCAAGTTTATAACTGTAGGCTCTTGTATAATTTCTTGCCAGTGGCTGCCGCTCAATACATATTCAAATGAATGAATTTTTCCTTTCAATGCTAATTGTACCTAAGGGTCCTAAATTTTCATGCTACTTACCTCATTTAAACAGTAAAGTCAAACTTGGCTTTAAGGTTTAAATATGACTGAAACAGAAAGCAAAGATTTATTTCTTGTCTGTTCTTGATAACTTTAAAACTTAAGACTAAACATGATAAACCAAGATAGAGATAAGATTATGGAAAGACACAGCATGTATAAAACTAGCAAGCAACACAGCATGTTTCATGATACTGGAAGCTATGCCACTGGTATTTCAAATACCAGCAGGGTCACCCATGGTACATAGGTTTCAGTGGCGCTTCTAGACTAAGACAGACTAGGAAGAAGGACTTGGCTATCTAATTCTAAAAAAATTAGCCAGTGAAAACCTTATAGATAGCAGCAAAACACTGTCTGATATAGTGCCAGAAGATGAGCCCCTCAGGTTAGAAGGCACTCAAAATACGATTGGGGAAGAGTTGCCTACTCAAATTAGAGTTGACCTTAATGATATGGATAGAGTAAAGCTTTCAGGACCTTCATTTGCTGAGGTGGCACAATTCAAAATGAGAAGAAACAGCTGCAAACATCCATTAGTAATCGGAATGTGGAATGCACAAAGTATGAACCTAGGAAAATTGGAAATCATCAAAAATGAAACAGAACGCATAAAGATCAATATCCTAGGCATTAGTAAGCTGAAATGAACTGGTATTGGCCATTTTGAATCAGACAATCATATGGTCTTCTATGCCGAGAATGTCAAATTGAATAGAAATGACTGTCACATTCATTTCAAAAAGAACATTTCAAGATCTATCCTAAAGTACAACACTGTCAGTGAAAGGATAATATCCATACGGATACAAAGAAGACGAGTTAATATGAACGACTTTTACTCAAATTTATGCACTATCCACTAACGCCAAAGATTTAGAAATTGAAGATTTTTACCAAGTTCTGCAGTCTGAAACTGATCAAACATGCAGTCAAGATGCACTGATAATTACAGGTGATTGGAATGCAAAAGTTGAAAACAAAGAAGGAAGATCGGTAGTTGGAAAATATGGCCTTGGTAATAGAAACAACTCTGGAGATCGTGTGATAGAATTCTGCAAGACCAATGACCTATTCTTGGAAACATCTATTTTCCACAACATAAATGGCAACAGTACACATGGACCTCCCCAGATGGAATGCACAGGACTCAAATCGACTACATCTCTGGAAACAGAGGATGGAGAACCTCAGTATCATCAGTCAGAACAAGGCCAGGGGCTGACTGTGGAACAGACCTTCAACTGCTAATATGCAAGTTCAACTTGAAACTGAAGAAAATTAGAACAAGTCCACGAGAGCCAAAGTACGACCTTGAGTATATCCCACCTGAATTTAAAGACCATCACAAACACACACACATATACAGGTGTATACACACATAAGCACACCATTATGATAAAAGAAGTCTGTACAGAGAACTGGGAGTAGCAGGAGAAGAATGGGAAATGTTCTAATTTAGCAAAAGTTTCATAAAGCTTAGCTTTAGTGTAAAAAACCGATAGGTACTTGTCAGGTACAGATGATAGAGGAATCAGTTTGAAGAAAGTCATGGGAGAGGTGGCCCATTTAGCAAGTGCAAATCTTTCCGTAGTAGCAGAGCTAGGATTTACTATGAATTCAGTGGTAGATGGGGACTGAAGATGTAAAAGGGGACAGATCATCATCTCTCATCTTGGCAGTGGACTTCATCATCTAAGCATCAGGGAGCCATGGGAGGATTTTAAGCAGGGAAGCAATACAATTAGATTTGTATTAAGAGAGAATTGGAGTGGGCAGGGGAACAAAAAACAATGTGGAGGATAGATTGGGGGCAAGACTAAAGACAGGGAGACCAGTAAGAAGACTTGTTGCAATAAGCTAGATAAGAGATGAGGGCCTGTATAAAGTAGTGACATTGGAGATGAAAAGTTAAAGGCAGATAGTGACTGCAAACCAAAAGGTTGGCAGTTCGAATCCACCAGCAGCTCCATGGAAACCCTATGGGGCAATTCTAGCGTGTACTGCAGGGTCGCTATGAGTCGGAATCTACTTGAAGGCAGTGGGTTGTGGTTGGTTGGGTTTGGAATGAGACACAATATATAGGATTTGATCATCAGTTAACTGATTAGATAGTAGAGTGGGAGTTGGTGTGAAATATAGGGAAAAAACTATGTTTGGGGTAAAAGTTAATGAGTTCTGTTTTGTGGGCCTGTTGAGTTTAAGGTGTCTTATAAGACATCCTTATAATTATTTTTTATTGTACTTCAGGTGAAAGCTTGCAGAACAAATAGTTTCTCATGAAACAGTAGTACACATATTGTTTTATGACATTTCTTAACAACCCCACAACATGTCAACCCTCTAACTTCTCAACATTCTCAACATTTTTTTTGGTGAAAATACACATAGCCAAAGATACACCATTTCAAAAATTTCTACATGCACAGTTCAGTGACATTGACTACGCTCTTCCAATTGTGCTGCTATTCTCACTTAAGATGAAGGCTTACAGAACAAAATAGTTTCTCATTTAACAGTTACTACAAATGTTGCCGTATGACAATGGTTAACAATCTCACAACACATCAACAATATCCTTACTCAACCTTGGGTTCCCTATCACCAGCTTCCTTGTCCTCTTCTGTCTTCTGGCCCTTGTCACTGGACTCCTGTACCTCATTAGTCTCATTTGGTTTTACGGGGCTGTCCACTCCCAGGCTGAACGGTGAACCTCGGAGATAACTTCACCACTGAGCTGAAAGGGTGTCTGGGGGCCATACTCTCGGGGTTTCTCCAGTCTCCTTTAGGCCAGTAAATCTGGTCTTTTTTTTGTGAGTTAGAATTATGTTCTACATCCTTCTCCAGTTCTGTCCAGAACCCTCTGTTGTGATCCCGGTCAGAGCAGTCAGTGGTGGTAGCCGGGCACCATCTAGCTGTACTGGACTCAGTCCGGTGGAGGCCTTGGTAGCTGTGGACAGTTAGTCCTTTGGACTAATCTTTTCCTTTGTATCCTATTCTCTTCATTCTCCCTTGCTCCCGAAGGGATGAGACCAGTGGAGTATCTTAGATGGGCACTCACAGGCTTTTAAGACCCCAGACACTACTCACCAAGGTAGAATGTAGAACAGTGTCTTTATAAACTGTGTTATGCCAGTTGAGCTAGATGTTCCCCGAGACCTTGGTCCCCACAGCCCTCCGCCCAGCAGTTCAGTTCCTCAGGGAGTTTGGATGTGTCTATGGGGCTTCCATGACCTTTCCTTGTACAAGTTGTGCTAGTTTCCGCTGTTTTGTGTACAGACGTCCTTATAATTTAAGGTGCCTTATAAGACATCTGGAGCCCTGGTGGCGTAGTCATTAAGCATTCGGCTGCTAACCAAAAGGTCGGCAGTTCGAGTTCATCAGCTGCTCCTTGGACACACTATGGGGCAGTTCTACTCTGTCCCATAGGGTCACTTTGAGTCGAAATTGACTCGATGGCAATGGGTTTGGTTTTTGGTTTAGAAGACATCCAGGAACCTTGGTGGCATATTGTTTAAGAGCTCAGCTGCTAAACAAATGGTCAGCTGTTTGAATCCACCAGCCACTCCTTGGAAATCCTATGGGGCAGTTCTACTCTGTTCTGTAGGGTCGCTATGAATCAGAATCAACTTGATGGCAACAGGTTTTGTTTTGTTTTTTTTGGTATAAGACATCCAGTTAGAGTTGTACAGATATATAGATATTTGCTCTAGAGAGAGATTTAGGTTGGAGAACTAGACTTGGAGTCAACGTCCATTCATCCATACTATATTGAGCACCTACTCTGTGTCAGGCATTGTGCTAGGTCTTGAATATACAGTGGTGAAGACAGAAAAACAAGCATAGTCTCTGCCCTCATGAAGCTTTTTGTCTGGGTGGTGGTGGGAGACAGAAAATAAACAAGTAAATAATTAGTAATTATGATAAGTTCTAAGAAAAACTATCAGCATGCTGAGATGGAGCATGATGATTTATGGGGTGGGGTACCTTACTTTAGATAGGTTTGTCATTCTTAAAATGACACCTGAAATATTAAAGGGGACAGTTGTGCAAAGAGCTGCAGGAAAAACATTCTAGGGAGAGGGACATGGTGTGTGCAAAGGCCTTAAGTTGAGAAAGAGCTTTCCATGCTCTGGGAACCAAAAGGCCAATATAACTGGAGCCCTGTGAACTAGGAGGAAGCATCAGCATATTAAGTGATAGTTGAAGTCATGGGAGTGATTTAATTTCCCCTGGAGAATGTGTAGTGGAAGAACAAAAGAAGGTCAACAGCAGAACCTTGGAGAAAAACAACATAGAAGGGGGATTGGAAGAGGAATCTGTGCAGCAGGTGAGAAGTAGTCACAGAAGTAGGAAGAAAGGCAAGAAGGAAGGATATTTTGGAAGCCAAGGAAGAAAGGAGTTTCAGCATTGTCCTGCCGGTATAGAGTGGTCAAATTAGGGGGAAGAGGAGTCCATTGAAATTGGCAATTAGCAGTTAATCTTTGCCATTGTCTGCTCAAAGAAGTGAAGTGGCTAAAAGACTTAGTAGTGGTTTAACTACAATGTAACTCTGCCGTTAATCTTTTATTTTCATACTAGAGTATCTTACCCAGCAAGACTTGATGTAATCTGGTGAAACTATTGATAAGATTTCCCAATCATCTATTAGAAAATATTTATTAAACATTCATTATGTGCATAGCATTGCACTTAGCATTAAGGTGAGATAAAGAGAAGGTAGATTCCTGTAAGTGGGTTTAAGTTCAGAGTTCCCAAGAAATAATTTCCAAAGGGTGTCCCTCTAGCTTCACACTCCCTGGAAAACATCCATTGTGTATCCTGAAGCAGCTTGTTACTTGCCTAGACCTGTAAGAATGGCCGAGATTATAACAAGCGTATACGGTTTATCTTCCACAAAGCCGACTGAATACATTCTCAGAGTAACAGGCCGCTTGGCTGATTTGAGGATTAGGTAGTCACTCTTGTACTCTCTTTCTAGGGCAAAATTAACACTGTTTGTGAGTAGAGGGTGTGTGTGTGTGTGTGTGTGTGTGTGTGTGTGTGTCTGTGTGTCTGTGTGTCTGTCTGTCTGTCTGTCTGTCTGTCTGTGTGTCTGTGTTCACTTCATCTATACCCCGTTGTATTAAAAGATCAACTTCACTTTCTGAATGTATTCCAGCTATAATTTTCTCAGTACTTGTAAGTTCATAGTATAAGGAACTGCTTAAATATAAAGTAACAGAGTATATACAATGCAATTTGTCCTCATTTTTAAGGCCCAATTTGAGACCCATCATTCATTCATCAGTTCAGTCATTCATTCATTTAACACAAATTGTTGAGACCATCTTGACCTCTTCTCAAATCTATAGCAATACCTCACATTTTTGTAGTGACTTGTATACCCTCTTGAATTGTTCTGTTATGTTCTGTCGCGTGCTGGTCTTGTTTTTAACTAGTTCATGCTCTCTTGAGAGGAGATCCCTAACCCTTATGTTGTTTTTATATCCTCAAAGCAGCCGGCACAATTTTGAGTACTTGATACTTGACTCATTTCCTGATGGGGTTTTCAAATACTTATTTATGTTTTCCCTATTCTTTAGTTTCCCTCGGCCTTTTTCAAAGGAAGGGTAAACATGTGTGCCGCATTTTGCTATGAGGTTTTAAAATGCTGCACCTCGAAGATTAGCTCAACGAGGAATGAAGCATCTGCACTTTTGTATCTTTTGATGAGAAACAACTTTGAGTATACCAAAAGGAAAACCTTTTTGAGGACACATCTGCAGGTTAGTGAAAATCAAAGCGCCTCTTCTTTTCAATTTTAGCCTCTTGATCAAGATCTAGCTGCCCTGTCCAACACGGTAGCCATTAGACATATGTGGCCATTTAACACTTGAAATATGGATAGTCTGAATTGAGATGTGCTGTAAGTATTGAAAAAGGAACCCTGGTGGCACAGTGGTTAAGTGCTCAGCTGCTAAACGAAAGGTTGGCGGTCAAACCCAAGAGCCGCTCGGTGGGAGAAAGATGTGGAATCTGCTTCCGTAAAGATCGCAGTCTTGGAAACCCTATGGAGCAGTTCTACTCTGTCCTTATAGGGTCACTATAAGTTGGAATCAACTCAACAGCAGCCACTTTGAGTTTTGTTTTTTTTTTTTTTTGTTGTTGTTGTTTGTTTTGTAAGCGTAAAATACACTATGGCTTTTGAAGCTTTAGTACCTGTCAAAAAGTTTGATATTGATAACATGTTGAAATGATCTTTTGGATATATTCGGTTAAGTAAAATATATTATTATTTTCACCTGTGTCTTCTTACTTTTTAATGTGGCTACTAGACAATTTAAAATGACACATGTGGTTAGCTTTACATTTCTATTGGACAGTACTGCTCTAGATCCTAGGTGTTAGGAGTGCAGGCTCTAGTTCAGATTCCAGCAGTACCACACAGTGTGACCTTGAGTACGTTAGCAGCTCAGTGCCCTGTTTGTTTCACATGTGAAGTAGGAATAATATTAGTACCTACCTCATAGGGTTATTGTAAGGATTAAATGAGATGACAGTAGCAAAACACTTGCTAGCTATTGTTATTATTACCTGCCAGGTAATAAAGTTTGTGTTTTTCATGTGCCAGCATGTTCAGTTATTTAAAAATGAGAGAACTTGAATTAGTGGAAAAGATGGATTTTGGAATCAGACCTACCTGGGCTTGAATCATAGGTCAACTCCCTAACTTGCTGTGTGATCCTAGGCAAGTTACTCAATCTGTCTGAACCAGTTTCCTCATCTATAAAATGAGGCCAAGTATATTTTGCCTTGCAGGGTTATATTGAGCATTAAAAATAAAGTGTTTTAAAAATTGTTGAATCAGTGTAGGTTTTGTTGTGTATATTTTTAACAAAAATTTTAAAAGTTAATAAAAAATCAAAATAGAGTATAGTTCCTGGCACAGTGCCTATATCATAATAGACACTTATTACATGGTAGTTATTATCAAAATCTCCTTTAATTTTTATTTATTTATGCTTATTTGATGAAACAGATCTGAACTAAACTACAGTTAGGACTTCTTGGCTCAGTAGGCCTCTTGGTAATATGGGAAATCTTTGGTCATGTTTATATCTTCACTGCCATGATCTGTCCCATTGAAGTTGCTTATTGGAGACTGGATTATTAATAGGGAAAGCACTGTAATGCAGCTTTTAAAAAATGTCATCAGTAATATGAAAATCTAATAGGAGTATATGCTTCCTGTAAAATATCCGCTATCTCGTTATTTTTGGATACCAGGGGCCAGCATTACACATGAGGTCTTTATCTATTTGCTTTCATCTGAGGTGTCACATGAATGCCACATTTCCCCAAAACATTTCTCCAATTAGTGCGCCAGTGTGCCTGAAATTGTCCATTAGAGTTTATACCTCTGGGTCAAAGGTCAGTTCTCTCAAGTCTTTTTTAAAAATATAAATGAATTAATAGATGTGAAGACTTAGAGGAGGATGTGGCACATAGTAAATGCTCAGTGTTAGTATTATTATGATCTCTTTAATCTTGATCACAACCCTATAGAGTAGATTTTACCATTCTCATTTTACAAATGAGGAAAGTGAGACACAGAAAGGTTAAATAACTTACCCAAAGCCACAATTTGGCTTTGTGAATAAGTGGTAAAAAGCCAAGATTTGAACCAAACTCCAGAGCCTACACTCATAGCTACTACTGTATCCTGCTTCCCACAATCAGGAGTTAAGCATCCAGCCATTAACACCTTAGCGTGAATTGTTTATCCATTCATCCAGGGGGCTCTGAGAGATTAAAAAGTACCCCCAAAGGCTATTTATTGCCTGAGCTGCTGTCCAGGACCAGGTTAAGCCCTGATCAGAAACAAAGAAAGGAGTCCTGAGGTGCGGGATTTGGGATTCCAGCACACTAAAATAGACTAGTGAAAAGGAGTGGGAAACCATCAAAGAAGAACATCATTTATTCCCAACTTGGCCCATGGACACTACCTAGCAAATATATTCCAAGTGGCACCCTGGCCACCACTGTTTCTGTTCACTATTATGAAAACGGCTTTAGATCTAGCTGTATTATGAGTTTTGAAAAATTGTTCACATGTAGCCAAGAAAGGTCCCAATAAAATTTGAAATTGTGACCTTTGAGGTTATTTCTGTAGAAAAATTTAAACCCCTCATGGATAAGGAAAATAGGTTATGATGGAACTGTGTAAAATCTTTTTAAAGAAGTATTTCATGTGAGTACTTATGTGCTTATATAATGGTGAAAAATGGTCAAAGCCATTTGAAAAACAATTTGCTTCTTCCCCACAGATAATAATTGCTGTGAGCCAGCTGATAGCTGATGTAGCGCTAAGTGGAGGATCAAGATTTCAGGAGTCTTTATTCATTATCAATAATTTTGCAAATAGTGACAGACCTATGAAGGTATGCTCTAACTTCACGTGATAAATTAGAACCATCTTCACTGTCAGAGATGTTTACAGTCCTAGAGTTAAACTGTCGTTTGGATTCACAACTGTTGATAGTATAGAGTGTGAAGAATGTGAGATTGATGAGTCAAGAGCTTTGTCTTGAGTACTGCTGTACCTCTAGGACCTGGAACACAGCCCGGTACATAGCAGATGTTCCGTATTGCATGGATGGATGGATGGATATATGAATATACTGGGTAAATGTGGAGCCCTGGTGGAGCAATGGTTAAGCACTCAACTGGTAACTGAAAGGTTGGCAGTTTGAACCCATCCACTGCCTCCACAGGAGAAAGACTTGGTGATCTGCTCTCGTAAAGATTACAGCCTAGAAAACACTGTGGGGCAGTTCTGCTCTGTCACATGAGGTCCACTATGAGTCAAAATCAACTCAATGGCACCTAACAACAGCAGCAACCCAGTTGTAGCTATTAGAATCTGACTTTTTTCTGGGTTTGATTTCTAAACTTGCTCAAAAAGTAAATGGGTCCTTTCTTAACAGTTGTTACCACTTAATTAGCTAATTAAGCACTGAGTTTGAAATTTCACAAAATCTCACTTCTTAGAGTAGCTCACAGGTGCCTTTGTTTTGTGAGTTACAAGAATCATGTGTTAACTGATTTTGGCTTGCCATAAATACTTATTGGCAAATCCCAAGTCCAAGGCTGTCATTCTTCAGCACCAACTGGCTGAGGCCAGCACCAACACCCTACCATTCCTCTTTCTTACATGCTTAAAATCTATAACATTATAAAAATCTTATCTGTTGCTTCATAATAAGAAGTGCAGGTTCTGTTCTTCAGTAATACGTGTGTGCAAGGGAAGAAGAATCCTTCAATGATTAAGGAATTTTCCTCCCAGAGGAATCATCTCCATTCTTGGGAAAGGTCATCTTCCAGCATAATTTGACGATAATGTGTAAAATCTGGAGGAAAAAAAAAAAACCTTACAAGCTCACAGTCATAGCATCCTTGATGTTTCCAGCCTGTAGAATTTATGAACTAAAAAATATTCCCATAGGAACATTGCTTAGGCTGAGGGGGGAAAAGCAAAACACTGAGTAGTGCCAGCCACTTTCAGGCTGGGAAAGTTTGCTTTTCAGCCAGTTTTACTGGTTCCCCACTGGATCAGTATATGCTTCAACTAATCCCTTGAGAATGTTGTTGTTGTTCTTAGGTGCTGTCGAGTCGGTTCCATCTCATGGCGACCCTATGTACTACAGAATGAAACACTGCCCGGTCCCGTGCCATCCTCACAATCATTGCTGTTTGTTGCAGCCATTTGTGTCAATCCATCAGGTTGAGGGGCTTCCTCTTTTTCACTGACCCCTCTACTTTACCAAGCATGATGTCCTTCTCCAGGGACTGGTCCCTCCTGATGACATGACCCAAGCACGTGAGACGAAGTCTTGCTATCCTTGCTTCCAAGGAGCATCCTGGCTCTACTTCTTCCAAGATAGATTTGTTTGTTCTTCTGGCAGTCCATGATGTATTCAATACCCTTCACCAACACCACAATTCAAAGACATCAGTTCTTCGGTCTCCCTAATTCATTGTCCAGCTTTCTCATGCATATGAGGTGATTTAAAATACCATGGCTTGGGTCAGGTGCACCTTAGTCCTCAAAGTGGCATCTTTGCTTTTTAGTACTTTAAAGAGGTCTTTGGCAGCACATTTCCCCAATGCAGTGCACCTTTGATTTCTTGATTAATGCTTCCTCGGGCGTTGACTGTAGACCCAAGTGAAATGAAATCGTTGACAACGTCAGTATTTTCTGTCTATAATGATGTTCCTTATTGGTCCAGCTGTGAGAAGTTTTGTTTTCTTTATGCTGAGGTGTAATCCGTACTGAAGGTGTGGTCTTTGATCTTCATCAGTAAGTGCTTCAAGTCCTCTTCACTTTCATCAAGCAAGGTTATGTTATCCGCATATTGCAGGTTGTTAATGAGTCTTCCTCCTATCTTGATGCCACATTCTTCTTCATATAGCCCAGTTTCTTGGATTATTTGCTCAACATAAAAATTGAATAAGTATGGTGAAAGGATACGATCCTGACACGTTTCTTGACTTTAAACCACACAGTATCCCGTTGTTCTGTTCGAACGACTGCTTCTTGATCTAAGAACAGGTTCCTCATGAGCACAATTAAGTGTTCTGGAATTCCTGTTGTTCGCAGTGTTATCCATAATTTGTTATGATCCACACCATCGAATGCCTTTGGATAGTCAGTAAAACACAGATAAACATCTTTCTGGTATTCTCTGCTTTTAGCCATGATCCATCCAACATCCTGACATCTGCAGTGATATCCTTCATTCCATGTCCTCTTCTAAATCCAGTTTGAATTTCTGACAGTTCCCTGTTGATGTATTGCTACAACCATTTTTTAATTATCTTCAGCAAAATTTTACTTGTACGTCATATTAATGATACTATTCAATAATATCCGCATTCTATTGGATCACCTTTCTTTGGAATGGGCACAAATATGGATCACTTCCAGTCAACTGTCTTCCAAATTTCTTGACATAAGACAAGTGAGTGCTTCCAGTGCTGCAGCCATTTGTTGAAACATGTCAGTTGGTATTCTGTCAATTCCTGGAGCTTTGTTTTTCTCTAGTGCCTTCAGTATGTCTTAGACTTCTTCCTTCAATACCTCTTGGACTTCTTCCTTCAGTACCATCAGTCCTTGATCATATGCTACCTCCTGAAATGGTTGAACGTTGACCAATCCTTTTTGGTACAGTGACTCTCTGTATTCCTTCCACCTTCTTTTGATGCTTCCTGCATCATTTAATGTTTTACCTATAGAATCCTTTAATATTGCAACTCAAGGCTTGAAATTTTTCTTTAGTTCTTTCAGCTCGAGGAATGCTGAGTGCACTCTTCCCCTTTTGGTTTTCTAACTCCAGGTTTTTGCACATTTCATTTTAATACTTTACTTTGTCTTCTCGAACCACCGTTTGAAATCTTTGTTTAGGTCTTTTACTTCATCATTTCTTGCATTCACTTTAGCTATTTCTTCCATTCACTTAGCTACTCTACATTCAAGAGCAAGTTTCAGTCTCTTCTGACATCTATTTTCATCTTTTCTTTCTTTCCTGTCTTTTTAATGACCTTTTGCTTTCTTCATGTACGATGTCCTTGATGTCATTCCACAACTCCTGGTTTTTGGTCATTAGCGTTCAGTGAATCAAATCTATTTCTTGCGATGGTCTCCAAATTCAGGTAGGATATACTCAAGGTCGTACTTTGGCTCACCTAGACTTGTTTTAATTTTCTTTGGCTTCAACTTGAACTTGCGTATAAGCAATTGATGGTCTCTTGTGCAGTCGACCCCTGGCCCTGTTCTGACTGATGATATTGAGGTTCTCCATCATCTGTTTCCACAGATGTAGTCGATTTGATTCCCGTGCATTCCATCTGGCGAAGTCCACATGTATAATCGCTGTTATGTTGTTGAAAAAGGGTATTTCCAATGAATAGGTCCTTGGTCTTGCAGAATTTTATCATGCGATCTCCGCTGTCATATTTTCCAACTACTGATCCTTCTTCTTTGTTTCCAACTTTTGCATTCCAATCACCAGTAATTATCACTGCCTGTTGATTGCATGTTTGATCCATTTCAACCGCAGAAGTTGGTAAAAATTTCAGTTTCTTCTTCTTGGCGTTAGTGGATCGTAAGTAAATTTGAATAATAGTCATATTAACTAGTCTTCTTTATAGGCATATAGGTATTATCCTATCACTGACAACGTTGTACTTCAGGATAGATCTTGAAATGTTCTTTTTGACAAATGTGACGCCATTCTTCTTCAGTTTGTCATCTTGGCATAGTAGCCCATATGTTTTTCCCATTCAGAATGGCTAATGCCAGACCATTTCAGCTCACTAATGCCTCAGATGTCTAACTTCAAGAGTTCCATTTCCTTTTTGACCCTTCCAATTTTCCTAGATTCATACTTTGTACATTCCATGTTCCAATTATTAATGGATGTTTGCAGATATTTCTTCTCATTTTAAGTCACGGCACATCAGCAAATGAAGGCCCTGAAAGCTTTACTCCACCAACATCATTAAGGTTGACTCTACTTTGAGGAAGAAGTATATTCTTCCCCAGTCATATTTTGAGTGACTTCCAACCTGAGGGGCTCATGTTCCAGTACTGTATCAGACACTGTTCCACTGCTATCCATAAGGTTGTCACTGGCCAATTTTTTTTTTAGAATTAGATCGCCAGGTCCTTCTTCCTAGTCGTCTTAATCTGGAAGCTCCGCTGAAACCTGTCCACCATGGGTGACCCTGCTGGTATTTGAAATACTGGTAGCATAACTTCCAACATCACAGCAACATGCAGGCCACCACGGTACAACAAACTGACAGACGAGTGGTGAGCATAGAAACAACTCGTGCCATTTATGATCTGTCATGGATTGAATTATGTCCCCCCCAAAAATGTGTGTATCAGTTTGGTTGGGCCATGATTCCTGGTATTGTGTGATTTTCCTATATGTTGTAAATCCTGCCTCTATGATGTTAATGAGGGAGGTTGGGTGGCAGTTGTGTTAGTAAGGCAGGACTCGATCTAAAAGACTGGATTGTGTCCTGAGGTAATCTCTTGAGATATAAAAGAGAGAAGTGAGCAGAGAGACAGGGGGACCTCATACCATCGAGAAAGCAGTGCCGGGAGCAGAGCGCGTCCTTTGGACTTGGGGTCCCTGCGTGGAGAAGCTCCTAGTCTGGGGGAACATTGATGAGAAGGTAAAAAGAGAGAGAAAGCCTTCCCCTGGAGCTGACGCCCTGAATTTGGACTTCTAGCCTACTTTACTGTGAAGAAATAAATTTCTCTTTGTTTGTTAAAGCTATCCACTTGTGGTATTTCTGTTATAGCAGCACTAGATGACTGAGACATGATCACTGACTTAATATTCTAAAAGTTTATTTTGCCAGTTGCTAACAGCCTTAACGCCATGTAATACAAATGGGTTAGCACTTTTTCAAAGTAAATGGGATTTGTGTTGGCTGCTTGATAGAAAAATCTTTTTCCCGACTTATTTCTGAAATGACTTTGTATTATTCTGTTAGGGCAGTCATTACCAATATACTCTATTACAATAAAGTGTGCCTTTCCCCCAGTAAATCGAATTCCTGTTAATGCATAATGCAATATTATTTAACGATAATAATTATTTTTAAAGAGGTAGAGAACGTAATTTATAAAACCAGTTCCTCCACATTTTATTATATTCACATTAAAAAGCTTCCTAACTCCTATACCTGTCCCTACCTCATCTTCTAATCATAGAGATAATTGTGATTCCTCCAGTAAGATTGCAAGGAAGTAATAATGACTTTTTTTTTTATTGTACTTCAGGTGAAGGCTTACAGAACAAATAGTTTCTCATGAAACAGTAGTACACATGTTGTTTTATGACATTGGTTAACAACC